TATTGTTTTTTTTTATTTCTTTATTTTATTTATTATTAGCTTTATTCACTATTATATTTTGGGTATAATATAGAGTTCTCAGTACAAAGTATTTCAACAAGTTCCATTTACTTATTTCTTGATCGATATTGACGGTAAATATTGAGTGATCTTCAGTTAGATATTAGCATGTCAAAAGTCGACATCTGAATAATATTCATCCTTTTCAATACATATTGCCAGTCATTACGATATCCCCGATTGTACATTTTTGTAACTTGTAAAGGGAAAGGTTGTAAACTTTTCATAAACGCACCTGAATAGGTTATACAATTAATTAACATAGTGAAGTGTTAAGACAAACAAAAGACAGGTGACTTGTTGAAATATCTAGATGGCAGGAACAAGTAGTCTAGATATTCAAGCAGACCACCTTAATCTCCCATGTATTGATGGCATTCTATCCATCAAGTTTTGATGTAATCACTTGTCTGAAAGAACTCGGCATTGTTTACTGCGTTGCAAAACTCTCTGATTGGAATTATTTGTCGAGAAAGCTTAACCGTGGTCATTAGACTGCTATCAGTACAAAGGATTCCAACAATGTTATTCACTATTATGTAATCAACTAACTGTCAGTATTTCAGTACTATAGAAAATCATTTGCGGTTTTAATAGTCCAGTGGTAATGTTTCAAACCGTAAAACCAGAAGATATGGCTTTAAATCACTCAAGAAGCATTAGTTTCCTTGAGGTTACAGGTATGCCTAACTGACGAGTGTCGGTTAATATAAAACAAGGTCCAGTGTTTGCTCCCAACCACCTTACAGAAGTTATTGATTATTTGGTTGCGACACTTGGCTGTTTATATTCCGATGGTGCGCACATCTGAGCAAATCAGTTGACAGATATCTGAATATTAGTCATGCAAATTTGAGCAATAGATAGAATAAAGTTTATTTGTATACACTAGTCTATGTTTAAACATGAAACAATTTCATCGTCTCCTTTGCGTTGAGTCGAATAACATACACATTCGGAATGTTCAGTAGAAATGAATTCAGTTACCAGGAAATACGACAGTATTTACAGTCGGTAGTTAATATAGTAACTCCGCCTGCAGCTCCTGCAGAGTTACTGCCGGTCCCAAGCCCGGGTAAAGGAGGAGGGTTGGGCATAGGGTTAGCGTCCCCATCCTGTAGAAAACTAACTCGCTAAAAAAACGCTTACCAGAAAAAATTATTCAAACCATTTAAACTCTGCCCTGAATGTTAGAAGGTCTTCATTTAGAAGAATTATGACGCTTCATGGTGAAAGCCGAGTTTCTTCGGAAGCCACGAGGCCAATGCCCCTTCTAACAACCAAAGCAAAAATTTTTAAAGGTACATGAACCGTCCGAACAATTTAGAAATAGCTGCCTACGCAAAATACTCAACTTCCATTGGGCGGATACCATCAGCAACAGCCTTCTGTGGGAAAGAACAAACCAGCTTCCAGCTGAAGAGGAAATTAGGAAAAGACGATGGAAATGGACAGGACATACATTACACAAATCGTCAAACTGCATCACGAGGTAAGCCCTAACTTGGAATCCTGAAGGGAAGCGGAAAAGAGGAGGGCCAAAGAACACATTACGTCGGGAAATTGAAGCAGATATGAAAAGGATGAATTACAACTGGAAGGAGCTCGAAAGGATTGCCCAGGACAGGGTTGAATGGCGAATGCTGGTGAGCGGTCTATGTTCCTTCACGAGGAGTAACAGGCGTAAGTAAGTAAGTAAGTTAGTAAGTTAATATAGTATCAATGAAAAATGAAAGCAGTTGTCATTCACTTGGTAACAGTCAACTTGACGTCATACGCAACACACTGGTAAAAGTTGTCTTTATATTGCTGAATGGTTTATATGAATTGGATGATAACTTTGTGATAATCAGTCTCACAGTTATAGTTATTATTGGATAGTGATTAGAATGTGGTTAGTAGTAGAGTTTATTACGCACATTTCATCCTATTTGAGACTCGTTAGTTAGATGTTCTTGTTCTCCGTTGTTGATACTCACATCGATAATCCACTCGAGTGCCTTTTGCTTGAAGGGATAAATACATCCCAATGTGAACACCATTGCACCGTGAATTCCAATCCAAGTCGCAATTCAACTTTATTATAAGTTGTAACTAAACAGGAATTTCCAAGCAATTTGTGTTAGGATGCACATATATCAATAGAGATTGATCTGAATCAGCCCTTATTACCAACAATAAACGGATCTTCACTGACAACACTCATTGTAAATCGCACCCCTAGAACTAAATATTAGCTTGCTCATTAGTCAGTCCAATTATTTAAATATGTATATGTATGTATTCGGACCATGAAGACCACATCTGAGGAGAATCACGGAGTACAATGGACAACTCGGAATCAACTAGACGATTTGGACTTCGTGGATGACCTAGCACTTCTATTTCATAAACACCAATAAATCCAGGGTAAAACAACCAGTGTAGCAGCAGTCTCTTTAGCAGTAGGCCTCAACATATACAAGGGAAAAACCAAGGTCCTCACATACAATGTAGAGAACACAATCGCACATTATCGAGAAACTCTAGAAGATGTGGAAGCTCTCACGTACCTGGTCAGCATCATCGATGAACAAGGAGGGTCTGGTGTAGACGTAAAGGCGAGGATTGGTAAAGCAACGTCAGCACTCCTACAACTGAAGGACATATGGAAGACAAAACAACGGTCAGATAACATCAAAGTCAGAATTTTCAATACTAATTTTAAAACACTTCGATTGTAGGGAGTTGAAACTTGGTGAACCTGGTGAACCATCACCAAAGATGTACAAGTATTTAAAACAATTGTCTACGCATGATACTTCAGATTCGTTGGACGGATAATATCAGTAACAACATATTATGGAAGAGAACAAACCAATCTCAAATTGAAGAGGACACTAAGAAAAGACGTTGGAGGTGGATAAAAAATACACTGTGGAAACCACCAAACTGAATCACGAAGCAAGCACTAATTAGGAATCCTGAAAGTAAAAAAAAGAGGCAGATCAAAAGACACAGTGTGTCAGGAATTGGAGGTAGACATCGAAAGAATGAACAGTATTTGTCAACAACTGGAAAGGATTTTCCGGGACAGAGTTGGATGGAGAATGCTACTGGTCAGACTATTTTCCTACACGAGGGGTAACAGGTGTAAGTATGTATGCATATATTCTGTGATCCTAAACATTATAGACAATCCGATTTAATTTTACTTCAAGATACCACAATTTTCTATCTAATATAACTACACATTGTGATAAATGCCTACAATAAATAATAATAAAATTAGCTCATACTAGATAATTTCACTTGTTGAAATCATAAGTCAATTGAAGCTAGATCACCACGGAAAACCTGGAAGCACTGGACGATCATTTCGTCCTAGTATGGGACTCCTCAGCAGTGCGCATCCACGATCCCTCGCCCCACGAGATTCGAACCCGGGACCTATCAGTCTCGCGCCAGGCGCTTAACCATACTAGATAAACCATTTTATTTATTCTTTTATATCAAAGTAACCAATCCCCCCCCCAACACACACATCTATAAATATTCACTTCGTCTATTTATGCTGAATAATTTAACTAGCCAATAGGATTTTAGTTCATATGTCTGTCCATATTATCAAATAAACTCATGTTTGTCTTGACAACACACACTTCCCTTGTCACATTCATCAATATTATTATCATAATTATATCATGTCCATTAAAAAAAAATACTGGTTATTATTGTCACTATGACTTGGATAATACAATACATGAAGAAAAAAAACAGAAAGATATCAACATAAATAAACATATGTACACGAACACACATTAGGCATATATATATATCGTATGTATGTATGTATGTATGTGTGTGTAAGTATAGAAGTAAATGTATCAATGATGTATTATCAATTGCAATAATCATTGTCATAATCTTTATCTTATCTCAAACCAATTGAGATAGGGGGAATCTATCTATAATTAAGTGTTATGATATCTTCAACATCCCTTTATATAAACCATATTCCCACATATTTACACATACATAAATACATCCCAATGTGAACCAATGTTGAACTATTCAACAATCTCAACTTGTTAAGTTACGTAATCACTTTGTTTTTTTAATATTTATTTTACGGGTTTAGAAGAATGTTATATCTTAAATATTATTATTATTATTATTATTATTATTATTATTATTATTATTATTATTATAACCGGTATTATTTTATGCTCCAGAGTTCATTTTCTAAACATATTCACTATAGTATGAACTGGAAAACGTCTAACTTATTACACATACAAATGATGAATCAAGAAATACAACCGAATGAGAGATAAAAAAAAAAGCAAAAGAAGATAAAAAAAAATTCAAAGAAATAAACACCAGGATAAATACTAAAGATAAGAAAAATCTAAATGATAAAAAAAGAAAATTATTTTCTAAAGAAAAAAAATAACTTAAATATGAACAAACAATAACAAAATCAAAACAATATTTGAAAGAATAACAAGAAGAAGAAGAAGAAGAACAAGAAGAAATACATGTTATAACAAAACATTTTGTGTGTGTTCTTGTGAAAGATACGATATGCAAGTTATTACACCTAAGTATGTACGTACGCACATACACATATTCGTTTGTGTGCCATTTTAAATACACCTACATATAACATACACACATATGCAAGGGGTGAAAAATTGTTCTTGAACAATTTATGACACACATTTTGTTGTCTATTCGTGTGTATTGTATATGTACACGTGTGTCCATGTGTGTAAAGTGGTGCAAGTTTTATACACATACATAAAATATCATTATTTTTAAAGAATAATTTTTCTTATTAGCTGGAGGCGACAAATTAAAATCACAGATTAAATACAACTGGGATAAATATTCTGCCTATCTATCTATCTCTCTCTATATATATATATATATACCATACTAATATTACTAAACCATAGTGATTACAATGATGATATAATTGATAGGGATACTAATTATATTCTGATTAATAATGAAAAAAGAATACATGATATAATAATGGATCATAATACAATATTTGCATTACAATCTACTCCATCTATTGTTAATATTAATAAATTTAGTCAATATAATTCAAGACTAATGAAAACTGGTTATAAACGGATTAGACCAATGTGTAATGAAATGAATTTGAAGAAAATGAATCGTATTGACAATGATGATAATGATGATTCTATGGATGAGCAAAGGATTAATATTCCAAATAATAATATACAACAACAACAACAACAACATCATGAAGAACAAGATGTCATTACACATCAATCTGTACTACATCGAAGTTTAGCTGAATGTTTAAAACGTTTATGTAATGAAATACAAAGTAATCATTTTCTACCAATTACAATGAATACATCACTTAATACTGATACAATTAATTCAATTCACAATGATTATTCAACTTGTATAACTACACCTATCAATATTCCTACTACTAATACTAGTGTTTCAATGTATCCAACTCAAGCATTAGACTTGAGTATAACATCGAATATTACATTAAATAAAAGTATATCCAATGATTCATTGAATATAACTAATACATTCAATAAGAGTTTATCACCTTCACCAACATTATCTTCATACTATTCATTAAATAATAATAATAATAATAACTTGATTGCACTCACCTTATCTTCCTCATCTTCTGATTCATCTACTTCATTGATGTCATCACTTTCAAATAATACTATGCCACAACAAGAACAACAACAACAACAAAGAAACACAGTTAGTTTGACAAATATCACCAGTCACACTGATTCACTTATAAATAGTTTAAATTATGACACTTCTAATAATATTCATACTAACGTTAGTAGTAGTAATGATGATCACAGTCAACAACAAACTATTCACTACGATTCTCCGAATATTATCAATAACGGTAAGTATTGTGGTATTTCAAATGTACTGGCAACTACTCATAGCCTTAGGGACAGTAATGATAATAGTAATAATAATAATAATAATAATAATAAATTACTGAACATTCGACCAAACGATAATATTACTAGTAAGTAGTTCCACCATTATTACTGTTATTATTATTATTACTAACATCATATCACTTTTTATTATATAAAAAGAATAAATAGTTTATTTTGGTGGCGTTTTGTTCTGTGTGCTATGTGGCTTATTTCGGATGCTTCCATCGTGCTTCCGAAGTGAGGTGAACTGTGTGAATATCTCCATACATGACTAAAATCTTAATTTATCTAAATCGATTCCGTATATAATTCCGGTTGAATTGAAAGGGTAGCTTAGTGGCCGAAGAGTTAAGTTTTCAACCATTAGTTAACTGGTTTGAGTCCCGCTCCATTGATACTGATTCCGGCAGATAGATCAGAATTTTGATAGTTTTACATGAAAGATCGACTTTCTTTAGACAATTACTGGAAAATGGAAAATATTTAACAGTTGTTTCATTCTAATATGGGACACTTACTGATAACGATGCCTAAATGTCTTTGGCTAAATATCTAAGTAGTTGTTGTGGATATACACTACTGAGGAATCCTACTCTAGGATGAAAGAACTGTTTAATATTTCCCGGTTCCCGATAGTCGTTCAACTAGAAGCATTTCATACTGCAAAGACGATGAATTCATTATTAATCACGTCCATACTAGAAATTGATCTATAAATTCAGATTTAATTTTACTTATATTTTTCATAAGATATTCTTGTCCGGAAATATCGAAATTCTTGTACAAAGCACACGACTCAATAGTTCTAATGAGTTGTTTTGAAAATTTTTTCACTTAGTACTAAATTGAAATTGAGCGGTTTATTCTTCAAGGGAATTTAAACAGCATACATAATGCCAAGTTCAAACATTAATATATATTTTTTAAAATTCTCGATTATCCGTAAAATAGTTGCCTCTAAATCCTCCGGTACGGCCGAGGATTGAGAGAGTTAGCTCTCTTTCTCGAAATGCTCTCAAGTGGCTACACGTATACGGCCACTGTGAGTGATGTCCTACTCACCAGCTTCTCTTGGCATTATGGTTTTTTACGAAATTGAGAGGAAGAAAGACAAATGTTTGACACTTTAATCGGGTTGGTGAACACGGAGGATCCACCTGTGGGAATTGGAAAACCCTCATTCCAAACCAGTGGTGCACATGGACTCCAGGATCCTGAAGGAACAATTGGTGTGTGAACCAACTGTTGGTCACTGGCTACCATGGGATTGCATCTCCTAATGTTGCACCTTGTGGATAAGACCCTTAGGTTAAAGGCTCCGTGTGTGGCCCCGTGAGAGAATCATCTGCTTTGGTCTGGGCACCTGGGTAGCATCACAGCCCACACACAAATCAAGTAACTTGTGTGGAGCATATATATTCGATGCCTCTATGTACCAACATTTATGTGTTCAAATGAATAAATAAATAGATAAATAAAATAAGTTCTTAATACTTGATAAAATTTCTAGAAATCATTACCTATATACATTTAAATTTGAAAATTGACTAGTTACAATTTAATATCAGAAAGGGGTTTCTGTGAAAATAATTTCAATAGTTGAGATCATGAGCCAACTGAAGCCAAATCATCATGGAAAACCTGAAAGCATTGAACGGTTGTTTCATCCTATTGTGAAACTCATCAGCAATGCGCATTCAATTTATTATCTTTTTTCATGGGATTAAAAAATAGCTGTGTGTATCATTATTGGTTAGGATTTGAAATGTCCCATAATTGCTACTCATTGGTGAATGACTTTGATTCCAAGGGCAAACATTAACACTAGGATGCAGGTACACCCACTATACTAATCTCAAATAAGATGAAACATTTGTCAACAGAAACAAATTGAAATTCAGTTCTGACTATAAAAAACAACCTCAAATTCTTTTCCTCTTAAAATGAATGCAGTCAGTTAGTCATATGCAATGTAGAATCTGGTACGTGTACATTAATTAAAGTTTCCACATACCATTAGCGCAACAAGGTGAAACTGACAGGACAAACCTAAGATTAGTAGAAGTGAGTATTTTTATTATTTATTGAAACACATAAACATTAGTACAAGGAGACACCAAATACATATGCGCCACATAAATCATTCAATTTATGTGAGGGCTGTAATACTGCACGAGTGCCCAAACCGAAGCAGGCAGTTTTCTTAGTGGGCCACACACGAAGTCTTTGACCTAAACGTCTAATCCACAAGACAGTGGAGCAACGTCAGGAGATACAGTCCCATGGTAGCTGGTCACCAACAATCGATTCACACGTCATTTGTTCCTCGTAAATACTGGAGCCCATGTGGACCATTGGTTTGGAATGAAGGTTTTCCAACCCCTAGGTGGACTCTTCACGTCCACCAACCCTATTAAAATGCCGGACATTCGCTTTTCGCCTCCTCGATTCCGTAAAAATATCCCCACCACAAGAGGGCAGTGGGTAGGACTTTCCTGGCAGTGGCCGTATACGCGTGGCCATGTGAGAGCATTTCGAGAAGGACAGCTCTCTCAACCCTCGGTCGCACCAGGACATCTGGGGGTATACTTTGAGGGAGAGAACAGTATTAGTGATATTGAAAAAATTGGATATTGAAGATACAATTTTGAGGACAGACTATTGGATTAGTGGAATAAAACGAATCATTAAAAACCTCAAGATTTAAGGGAAGACATACAGTGAACATATTTAAACCACTGTGAATGATTTTGTACCATACCATATACTGAAAAGAAGTTCAACACTCGGAACGAAATAACATTTAGTGTTTTTTGGTTATTTTTCGAAAAAATGTTTCTAGCCAATGTATAGTCATAATGGAAATTACTTTTAACAAAAAAATAAAACTGTTTTTTAGTGGAGACATTTCGTCTAGACACAATGTAGACCTCAGTTAGTAGAATGTTCAAGTGATAACCTTACAACAGTAAAATGTGATAGAGAAGATGTAGAGATTAAATGAACACTTTTGGTGTTGTTAAGCTCTCTAAGCTAAATAGTATAATTGTGAAGCTATTTTTTGTCGTCCTGAACTATATTATCACAACTCAGCTGATATGGAAGTGAGCTTTTTAGTTATTCAATGACTTAAATATCAGTTATGTTCTGATGGCTTTGTTTCCGATTGGTTTCTGTAGACTCACTTGTCATACATTTTCTTTGAATTCAAGTTGACTGCCTTGTTCATTTGACCTCGAAATGTGTTGTTGATTTTTTCCTACGAATAATTTGATAGATGAGGTGTAATTCAATATGTCTACTAATTACTGATTGATTTGAATGCCATGTATCCGGAAAGTCTTTGGTACTTCGAGAATCTACATGATCAAGAATTGTAACGATTTCCCAGTTGAATTTATAGTTATAGGCAATATAGAACCTGGCACTCGCATACATAGATTCAACTTGCTACATACCAATAATTTACATAATCACTCGGGCTCTGAACAAGTAGTCCGCACCTACCTACATGACTCAGTCCAACATTCGGTATCTTCATGGACTGATGTTACGTCTTGGTTTGACCATCCTCTAGATCTCTTCCAGCGTACACCTAAATTATGCATAATCGTGGGTCGAGATAAATGGTAGATAAGGACATGTAATATATGTCCCAATTATCTCAGTCGATGAAGGTTCACTACATCATCAGTCGATTTACCATCCTTACTTATTACTTTACGTTTAACATTATAACTGCTAACATGGTCGCCTACCTCCATTGATATCTATAAGATAACACATTGTGCTTATGATTTTGTTCAGAACGACACCCAAAGTGTCTAGCTCAGATAATTAATTCTAAGATATACAAATGATATTGTAGCTTAAGTCTTATTCATGACTTTTATGTCATTGGTATTGTCATCATCATGATTAGTATCAGTGATGAAATCATTTGCTAGCAAAAAATTATTACTTCGGTTTGGGCACCCAGACAGTATTCCAGCCCTCACACAAATCGAATGATGAAATGTGGCATATATATATATATATATATATATATATATATATATATATATATATATATATATATATATATATATATATATATATATATATATATATGATGCCCCTCGTACCAGTGTTTATATGTTTAAATAATAATAATAATAATAATACTATCTATAAAATACACATATGGTCTTTTGAAATGTATTTACCTATTCATATGTATATACAAACGTGGATACAATGGAACAATATAAGCATTTGGAATCTTCTTGTCTTATTAAGCATATTTAAAGAACCTACTTCTTATTCGATCTTTCATTTGACCTTATGACTCGAGTACGTCTTAGTTATTAAGTGAGGGTTGTGTGAAAGAAGATTATTTTCTCCATAGTTTACCCCACAGATTGATCTAAGTTAGGCAAACATTGTAAACCAAGAGGCATTAAACAGCTGTATCTTCTTTGTGTCAGTTGGTGAAGCCAGTAGGGTCTTGTGGAGAAGAATAGTACTTGAATGTATCACACAACTAGATGGGCGTAAAAATTGTTTCTACAATTGATTTTGTTGTTTTTGATCAATCTACTCCTAGTATGAGACTTCCCATAAGTGCACAATCAGTTCCTCACTAAGAAGCAAGCTCAGTACTTCCATATCTCATGACGAGGCCTAATCTTTGAATCACTGAACCGGTATCCGATGGTGTACATGTCTAACTCTAATCAGTTAGCGATATTGCTTGATCATCTTTCATTCACTGTAATGGATAACTGGTTCACATCACGGTTGAATGGCAGCCTGTACAAACCCCTATAGTATTCATAACCCTGAAGTAATGAGATTTATTGGCATCTGGACTCAATAGCTCAATGGCGGATAATACATTGGTGTTTGAGGTGAAAGGTACTAGGTTCATATCTAATCATAAACATCAACTTCGGGATGGAAGTATATCCAATTATTGAGTCACAAATAGAATGAAAAATGTGTCCCGGATTCCACTAATGGTCACAGTCCATTTTCAATTCCTTATAACGAAATGGTGATATTGAACCTATCAGCACGGGATTCACAAATTCCAACGAAAACTGATAAGAACTCAGTCTTAAATGTCAATCATAGGTTAATCTAAACCCTTATTAATAATTATATGAACATCATTTTTTTAAAAAGCGTTGGAAAATAGTTTCTTGTTACTTGAAGAGTAACACAATTCTAAGGAAAGATCGCAATCTGTGGGATTAATTGTCTCAGCTTAAGTAGTTATTCAATAAGAGTAAAATGGATAACACATTCACATTATATCATATATGATAGTTGAAGTTGGAAAATGCATTCTATCGGTTGCCTACTAAGTAGTTATTCACATTTTCTTAGTTTCGTAATAATTCTACAATTATTGTTAGTCAATCAGTGATGATAACTAACTTTAAAAGTGGAATGCTCGACCTTACTTTCAGTGTCTATCAAATTCTAACCACTAGGGGTGTTAAAATTTCTTTGGTAAATATTGTCCATTGATGGCTTTAAGAACGCTATAATTTCATAGCTTTACATCACGAACCGATTTTATTTAGATCACTACTGAAAACCAGAAAAGATTCGACAGTTATTTCATTCTAGCATGGAACTCCTCCACAGTGTGCGTCTATAACCTGACTAGGAACCAAAATAAGGATCTTCAAGTCTTGTAGAGAGTTTAATTCTTAGACGATTCAATCATTATTTGGTCGCTCTAACCAAAACCGATTTTTTGATGTAAACTTTGGAACTCAACCATTTTCACATACCCTTTAAGTTTACATTATAATTATTGTAATGATTACAAAATAATCTAATGAAATCATGAACTGATCTGTGTTAGATCACTATTGAAATCATATAAGCACTGAACGGCTGTTTCATCCTAGTATGTGACTCCCCAGAAATAAGTATGCACGACCCCGCATGTTAAAATCAAACTTAGAACCTTATGTATGGCGCGTGAACGTTTAATCTCTCGACTACTGAGTCGGGATCCAACGGTATTAATGTTTAACTTCGATTGGTTCATGAAATTGTACAATTATCTTCCATTGCTTCTGGTGGGTAACTGCTTCACACTCGATATGGTTTAACTCCACTGTTCACTGCTTTTTGTAAGGATTTTGGAACTTACCTCTCGAAGCTAGTCACAAGTAAACACCTACCAAGGACACTGGAAGATGGTTGAGTGATGTCATGAATCGATCGGAATTAGAAATTAACACTGTTGGATGTCTGACCAGTGGTCTAGAAGTTAGGCGTTTGTTCACGAGACTGAGGGTCCCAGGTTCTTCTCTCACATGAGAGGTCGTGGATGTACACTACTGCAGAGCCTCATATTAAAACGAAACGACTTTTCAATGTTCCCAGATTTTCAATAGTGGTCAGTTTATGATTTCAATGAAATTCAACAATCTCCACAACATTCTGCCAACAAAATAATTGGTTACCGCCAATTAAGTAATAATAAATGTACAGCGAATAATATTGATGGATAAAATATCAATGAAACATTGTGTTTTAGCTAACATAAAACATTTTAAATATTGAAACTCATTAATTGGCTGATAATTATTTGGACCAATGGGTATATTTTTCTTAAGGAAAGGAATTGCATATGAGTTACGTTGCCAATTATACATAGAACTTTCATGGTACGTACACATAAATCTTTAATTATAAAATGTTAATTTTATATGAATATGTATGAATATTTGAAGTTCAACATGAAAACTCCAGTTTAAAACGAATAAAATCTCCCCAACTGATAAATCACTAGGCAGTAACCATTATCATGTTCATCTAATCGATTAAGTTTCTTTGTGACCACTTATCTAAGAGACACAAAATAGATAGAAATTAATCAAGACTAGGTAAATACAGTACGTGGGACTACTCAGCAATCAATCAAATATAAATATCTCAGTTTATTCATTTATTTATTTGAACACATAAATATTGGTACGAGAGGGCATCAAATATATATGCTCCACAATTTTGTGTGAGGGCTGTGATACTGCCCGGGTGCCCAAACCGAAGCAGGTGGTTTTCTTAGGGGGCTACACCCAGAGCCTTTGACCTAAAGGTCTAACCCACAAGGCAGTGGAGGATCGTAAGGAGATGCAGTCCCATGGTAGCCGGTGACCGAAAATTGGTTCATACGCCATTTGTTCTTCTTGGATACTGGAGACCATGTGCATCATTGATTTCGTTTGGGATCCGGTTAAAGCGCCGGACATTCGCTTTTCGTCCTCTCATTTTCATAAACAACATCCCCACCACGAGAAGGCAGTGAGTAGGACTTCCCTGGCAGAGGCTGTATACACGTGGCCGTTTGAGAGCATTTCGAGAGGGAGGTCGGGCCCACCCCACTTTCGGCTATACCAAGGCATTTGGGGGCTCACCTTCACTACTTCCCTTTTTTCTTCGATATGTTTCATTTTTTTTTTGGTTAAAACTAATGATATTAATAATCATTAATGCTATTCTTTTTCCTTATATATTTAGCTCAAACATTATTATTTCCTGGCCTTACTCCAACAATTTTTAATTTACCTCCATGTTTAACTTGTACAAATACATTAACACCAATAAAATCAGTAACGGATCAATTAATCAATGAAAAAGGTGAACAAGACGAAATAAAAGAAGAACTTTTTACAAAGATTACTAAATCAATTTATTTACATCAAAATGAATTGAGTAATAATACTACTACTAATAATACTACTAATAATAGTAATATTAATAATAATCCACCGGCTATTATAAATAACATATTAAATCCAACTGAATTAATTTTGAATTACGCAACAAATTATTATTTACATGGAAATCATCAATCATTCAATAATAAATGTTTAACAGAAGAAGATATTATTGAAGGAGAAGAAGGGGAGGATATGAAAAAAGATGAAATTTCTACATGTACTAGTCCTGATGAAACAATATTAAAAGAATTCGATAATGAACTATCTTCAAAACGTATTGGTAAGTGAGTAATTGGAATTTTTTGATTGAGATCATGAACCGATTAATGTTAGACCACCTTTGGAAATCTGGAAGCACTGAACGGCCGTTTCATCTTATTGGAGGAACTCCTCAGCAGTGCGCATCCACGATCCCGCTCACGGGATTCGAACCCAGGGCCTTCGGTCTCGCGCGCGAACGCTCAACCTACTGGACCACTGAGCCGGCATCCAATGGTGTTAGTGTCTAACATCAACCAATCCACGAAATTGCGCAACCATCTTCCATTGTACTGAGGTAGATACCTGTCTCTACCCGACATGGATTAGCTCCACTGGTCACGACTTCTCACTAGAACTCCGAGAATTCCCTCACGAAGCTAGTCACTAGTGAGCACATGTTAATTACTAGTATAGGGGACTTTTTCTTAAAGTTTGTTATGGTCGTGTAACATAACAATGGTCTATGCTTGTCGAGGAGTAACAGGCGTAAATAAGTAATTAATAACGTAACAAAAAGCTGTTTGATTGAATGAAGTAGGATTCAGATTTGATGAAAGGCATCAGTTCCGTCAGGATTACAGATATATTTAAGTAAGAAGTGTCAAGTGACATGAAACATAAGCTTACTCTTTTCTTACAACCATCTACAACAACCTAACAAAGATGGTCTGTTAATTTTAATTCATTTTTATGTTAGTTGTTTAAATCTCCGTATTGACGTTTAGGACTACAATTGATCAGCCTGTCTTTGGTATATATGTATCCTGTGAGGATTAACTCGATATTATTATTAAGTCACAAGTATTTTAAGCAGAGATGGATGATGGTTAGCAAAATAAAATGATAATAGTAATAATAATGACATATGTGTTACATCACATAAGCAGCATATTTGAAATATTTTCGTATAGTATTCAATATGTCTAAAATCATGGGCTTCCTTCGTTTGTTTTACAAGGAAAATCAAAGTGTTAAACATGTCAAATGCAGACTTTTTTGTTCTATTTAAATTGTATCAGGAATCAACATCTGAATGAGGTTCATTCTTTTCAATTTATATTGACAGCCACCATAGAGTTGTACTGTTTATCAACTTTTACAGAGAAAGGTCATAAACTTTTCATAAGCGCTTGAAATAGATTATGAGATTAACAGATATAATGATGCGTTAAAATAAACAAAATAAACAGAAAACTTATTGAACTATCTAGATGTCAGGAATAGGTAGCCCATATATTCAAACAGGTCTCATATCATTTCTATCTTATCAACCCATTTCACTTACTGTACAATGAATTTATTCATGAAGATTCTGTAGATGATTAATGTGAATGATTTACCGTAGAAACATTATAACACTGGGATGTATTTAGAAAGAAAAACCTTTTGCTTTAGATTATGTTAGATTATATGTGGCAATATTTCCACAATGTTTATATTAGAACATTATCAATAAACCTTGTCTAACTAATAAATCACCTGAAACGATTATATTCCAATAGGTTTCATTACATTTTGATTGAAAATCATCATCAAGATCATAAGATCAATTCAATATCACATTTGGCTTATTCTTATAAGTAGAAGTTAAGTGTCAAGAGTTTAATGTAAACAACAAAATGACTTATAATTCGGAAAACAGCTAAGAATCTCAGAGTTGTTTGTTACATAATTTTACAGGGTTGATATATAAGAATAGAATAGAGAAAGTGTACAGTACAAATGTTTGAAATTAAGTATAAATGAACGAGTTTGATAAAGTAATAACATATTTTTGATGTGGAGAGCCAATCAGAAGTGGCCTAATGAGAAAACCAGTCGATGACAATCAGAAGTGACCTAAAAGATTAGAGCGTTTCATTGTCTAAGAAATGGATGAATTTCCTAATGATTAAAGTAGTATATATATGAATGAGTATTTGTGCATTTTATTCGATAAAACAACATACTTTCTGGCTCACTTTTGTGGTATCGCTCAATTAGTAAATAAGGGGAGAGTTAGAGCGAAGCATTTCGGACACCGCTCATCACAACAATTCTACTCCCTGACTTTCTATAGACAGATATCTGGTATTGTGACATTTTTATGAACCATGTTCGAGCTTGTATATTCGGATTCATTCCAAATTTATCTCTAAAAAAGAATAAGACATTAAAGCTTATGATTTAGCGTGTTATTTACTTTCAATCATTAGATACCTGTTAACTGAGCCAATCAAATATAAGAGATGCTGACGAGTACACGCTATTGCTCAAGATTTTGCTTAACTTCCTGAGATGACATCTATATTCTATTATTTGGAAATGTAGCTTAGTTTATTTAAGGAGCGTAAACCTTTATTTCTAAATGAGTATATGCATATTTTTTTGTTTCGGGTCAGTCAATAAAAGCTTCCTAGTAATTATAAGTTTCCTCACTCAAGTAGTAAGTTTAACTTGTGTATAAGAAGTGAATTTACCAGTAGCAGACTCAAATGACTTCAAAACATAACAACACCATGGACAAATCCCTTCTCATCGTCTTCGATTTAAACATCCCCTCATAAAACAAGTGTACCTTACCTCAAAGTACATAAAATTATAATCGATTGTTAGATTACAACTAACTTTTGTGAATATTCAAACAATCAAACCTATTCTTCATCGTGTAGAAGACTTCAAAAATATTTTTCTTATCACCTTTGATTTTGCAAGTTTATGTTATAACTTAAATATTCAACAATCTACACAATTACATTGTAATAATATTCAATCTTTATTTAGTTTAATTCAGCTATTTGTCTAAACTTCTGGAATATGCTATTCCCCCTTGAAACAAATAAGGGAATTAAATTCACTTGGTATTGTTTACTTGTATCTCCCCACTGATGTTTAGCACTGCAATTGATCAGTCTGTTATTGGCATATATGCATACTGTGCGTATCGCCTCGATATTGCCTGAAGTCACAAGTATTATAAGCAAAAATGGATAGTGGCTAGCAGTGGGATTCAGGACGCGTGTTTCGTTTTATTTGAGACTCGTCAGTTGAATGTACCTTCATCCCAGAATTGATGTTCATTATGGGACTCGAACCCAGTACTATTTGCTTCAAACGTCATTGTGTTATCCACTTACATACTTTTAATAGTAACTCCACTAATTTTCGTTTAATGCCTTTAAAAAAATACTTATTTTCATTTATTATTTTTTCTATTTCAGATTCATCTGACATGGAACAATTAGACTTAAAAACAACTTCATTATGGTTTACAGAATCCGATATACATTCTGTACCAAATCTAGTTGAATCCATTAAAAAATACCATTCAAATGATGAATGTGGTTTTGATGTATGTCGATCATCTAAACTGAGAGAACATTATCATTGTAGTATATGTAATAAGGTAAATTTAATAGTTAGTTTTAATATCAGAAAGGAAGTTGTGTGGAGATTGTAGTAATTTACTGGTTGAGTTCATGAGTCGATTAAAGCTAGACTACGATATAGGTAGTAACTTACTGTAGGCAATGTTGAACAGTGGCGCAACTTCGTGGACTGGTTGAAGTTGGACATTAGCACTGTTGGATGACGACTCAGTGGCCTAGAGATTAGGCGTTTGCGCGCGAGACCTAAGGTCTCGGGATTGAGTGCGATGTGTGGGGTCGTAGATGCGCACTGCTGAAGGGTCCCATACTAGGGCGAAACGACCGTTGAGTACTTCCAGGATTTCTATGATGGTCTAGCTTTAATCCACTCATGAATTCAACTATTAGGTTGGTTTTAACATTGATTTGCATATTTATTCGTAATGAAAAACGTAATCTGTTCAGAAAAAAAAGGAATACTAAGTTGTTTAATTCTTTGACAGAAGTTAGAAAAAAATGTCGAGAAATTCCCAGAAGATTAAAGGCGGTTTACACAGATAATACTTTGAAGGAAACAGTTCTCTTTTCAAGTTTTTCATTGTCTATAGTGAATAGTGAAATGGTGATGCATGTCCAACACCATATAGTTGACGTTTTGTATATTAATAAGAATGTGGAACATACCAATTCTCTTGAAAGTTGAAAAAACTGACCCATTGTTCGGATGATTGTTAATAAAATGAATTTTGGAAAATCGTATATGTACATGTTTCTAGTGACACATTTATATTCCAAAAAATGGTAATTCAAGAATCGCGAAACAAAAAGGTAGCTGGGATGTCTCAGTTTTGGTTCCGTCATAACAATGGAAATGTAGCTGAGGCAAGTAGGATGCTACAAATGTGGATTATCTTTGTTGTAACGGGTGGACTGCAGGTTATGATAAGCAGCGTATTTATCGATCGCTTCAGTGACACGTAAAACACTCAAGGACCACCTAGAGTCCCGATTGGTCTCGCTTCCCTGTCTAGCCCAGCCAGTTGAGTCTAGGACGCAAGTCACAGCCTCTGAGTTATGAATCATTATATTTCAGACATACTCTATTTATATACCAAACAAACAAACCACATCGTACCATAAAATAGAAAACAACATTTACACAATATCTAACGAGTGAAATAAATAATGGCCAATAGGGAATGCCCATTTATAGTCCAAGGACATCATTAGACTCAACATGATAATGATTGGTATATTCCTCAAAATCCATAACAATCTTGAAGAAGAAAAAAAGGAGAGTTGTACCATACGTTTTCTAACATAAATTTGTTCATGACTTCAGATTGAATGTTTATTAAACAGTTTCGACTTGTAATCATGGGTTTTAAGCATATTTACACTTGTTTGTCTCGAAATTACTCAACATTCTTTCCTTGGTAGGATAGTTATTTTAGACTGATAATGTGTCCGATACTAGGACGAAACAACCATCAAATGTTTAAAACGATGTTCGTCTACGAAGAAACAAGCTATCAACAAGTTAGATTAACCTCTAAATTAAAGTAGAATGACATACGAATCAGGAGATGAAATCCAGCTTTGTTCCCTAGATTATAATGAGAAATTGTGGTCTTTTAAAATTCAACCATTTTGATAGTGATCAAATTAACTATCAATAAATCCAAATAACGACCTAACTAGATCATGAATTGAATGAATATTAATCACTAGATTCCAACTTAGTAGTCTAAAGATGTTGAGTTTGTTACAAGTCCTGATAGTCACGGAATCGATCTTTAGTGTGTTCATGACAGTATATTGCTAATGAGTCCCATACTAAAATCGATCATATGTTTCATGCTTCTTAATTTCTAGTGGTACCCTTAATGATATCAATTCATGCAGTAAACCATTTACATTCTAGGGTTATCATCATACTGTATTGTAACCAAACGGTTTCCAAATTATTAAATTATTATTATTATTTAAAAAATGTTTAATGATACCTTCTGACCTTTAACAATTACTTTGTATAATAATAAAAAAAAACACTTTAGATTATTCTACGACGTGAAGAAATGATAAGACATGCTAAATGGCATAGAAAACGTGAAGAAAGTATGCAATATGGATTTATGCGTTATAGTCCATGTGATGATTGTACTGTTATTTCTTGTCCACATAATGGACGTCAAACACATTATCATTGTATGCAATCAAATTGTGACAAGGTAAGAATTATCATTATTACTGGTTTTTTATGTAAAAAAGTGATACAATTGATAGTTCTAATAATCTTTTGGAGGGGGAGGGGGGCAAGATCTTAACACTCTAGACTAGATTCCCGGTTCGGTTATGTATGCACAATGATAAAGAGTTTCATATTACAACGAAACAACTACCTAGTACTTTCCAATTTTTGATGTTTGTCTAACTAAACTAATTCTATAATATAAATTTACTGAGTTCAACAATTTCCACGATCCTTTTACACTAATAACAAACTTATGCTCGCTGATAGCTAGTTTCGAAAGGTGACTACAGAATTTCGAGTGTTAAGCCTTGACTAGCGATATTCAGCTTTGTTGAGAGTAGGTTAATTACCCACTAGTAGTTATTAATTAGAATTAGACGTATAAACCACTGTATACCGATACTCGATAGTCTAAAAGTTATGTACTTGCCATGAGATCCTTGATCCTGTATTGAATGCCAGATAGGATCATGGATATAGGTTGACAAAGGGTCCCAGTATTTCCTAATTTTCAACAACTGTCCATCTGAAATTAGTCTGTAATGTAGAACTATAAAATTAAACAATCTTCAATAATCTCCTCTTACCTTACTATGGGATACAATACCCGTATCAATAATTGTAGACCTTCGAAATTTAACATTGTTTTCTTTTTTGTTGTTGGTTGTTTTGAATTCTTGTATTCCCCTCTTATTGTTTAATCAACATTCTCTCCGATCGTTTTGAGTGACGATAACAATCAAAATTCTAACGACAATGTTGATGATGATGATGATTAGCTAGTCGAATAGAATGTGTTTTCTATTTCTGGCTTCATCTTTCTGTTATTATTATTATTATTCTCTTTGCTTGTAGTTTCACATATTCTTTCCTTCTCTCCTTGTTTTTCTTGGTACTTTCATGTATACCATTCTTTTCTTTTTCTAATCCTGTCTTCTACTACCACACACACACACATATATTAACAGATTCACATGTTTTACACCTAAAATTTTGATAATTATAATAATAATGCACATTATTATTACTATTTTATGCAAAATAAACACAAATTCCTTATGTCTAGTGTGTATATGTTTGTTTTTTCGTGTGTGTGTGTGTATACATTCATCTGTGCGTCTGTCAGTCGGTTCCTGTTGCTAGTATTAGTGATAATAATGATGAAATTTGTGTCTGATTTCAATTCATATAGTGCTAACAATAAATTTCGGATAAATATATGACAATATATTTAATATGTGGTTGCCAGTAAAGAGTTTAGGACATGGGTTTTTCGTCTTATTTTAGACGTATTAACTGAATATACCTCTTACAGTTCAATGTTGATCTTCACAATGGAACCTGAATTTAATATCTTTAACTTCAAAGGTGTAACGCATTATTCACTAAGTAATTGAATTTAAATAATCGTTAACTTGTTCAAAATGTAGGAAGATATTCATAAGGGTTTGTAATTTCCTTGAAGTTAATCAGTCTCTTTTGTTATAATATCTATTCTATACGAATTAGCCTCATAAAGCATTATGCAACAAGCTTTAGTAAATTTGATATATGACTATGAATAAAATCGACAAGATACACTTTATATCATTTAGGAATGGACAGATAGATGTACATGAATCCCAGTGTTTATATTCAAACTGAAACTTCAATCTATTTACTCATGAATAACATCAGAGACTGAATGTAACTATATAATCGTTAAATACAGAAATATATTGGATAATATTCATGTCTTAATGTATCATGTATAATTCTTTAATAGTGGTGTTTAAGGATGATAACAAAAAAATATGGAACTCAAGGACTTTGTAGTAATCGATTTATACTTAAAACATTGAGATGTCACTCACATGAGTGAAATCTAGTGGTCATAACTTCCTACTAGAATTTCGTAAGTACAACACAAAACCAGTCTCTAATATGCACAGTATTATAACTGGATTAATGACATTTGTGAAAGTTAATTATTATTATTTTTATTATTTATTTAAACACATAAATATTGATACAAGGCGGCACCAAATAGATATGCACTACATCAATCATTCGGTTTGTGTGAGGACCGGGATACTGACCGGGTGCCAAAACCATGATAAATAGTTTTCTTAGGGGGTCACTCACCGAGCACCTGGACTAAAAGTCTAATCCACAAGGCAGTGGAGAAAAGTTAGCAGATGGAGTCTCATGGTAGCCGGTCAGTAACGATTATTTCACACACTATTTGTTCCCTCAGGACCCATGTGCACCATTGATTTGGAATCAGGGCTTTCCAACTCCCCTAGGTGAACTGTCCGTGTCCATTAACCCAGTTAAAGCGCCGGACATTCACTTTTCTTCCTCTCGATTTCGCGAATAACATCCGTGCGGCGAGAAGGCAGTGAATAGGACTTCTGTGGTAGTGGCTGTATGCAAGTGGCCATGTGAGAGTATTCTCAGCAGTACCCGGGCATTTTGGAGCAAAGTTAATCATAGATGAACATCATATAGAGTATCAATAAAAGTTATAAAGTACTTGTTATCTGTTTCACCCTAGTATAGGACTTTAATAGTACATAACATGAACTTAATAAGAACAGAACTCTGAACCTTCAGCCTTCGCAATGAACGCTTAGACTTCTTAAACTTCTAACTTCAACTAGCCTTGTTCAATATAACTTGTTTAAGCATTCAGACTATCAATCTTAAAATGAGAAGAATAAGCCATTGTATACTATATTACAATTCATATCTTAGGAAGTAGGGTTATTTTAGACGATAATTTGGAAAGGAAAAAGTCATTATTTCGAATTACATTATGTTTCAAGCAATTTTTTCTTATTTCAACCAATATTATATTAACTATCAGTATACGGTCGTGAAGATTGTTGATTTTCAATTGACATCACAAATAGATGAATGTTAAAACACTAATGAAAGCCTGGGAGCACTGGACGGCCGTTTCGTCCAAGTGTGGAACTCCTCAACAGTGCGCATCCACGATACTGCACGTGGGACTCGAACCCAGGACATTCGGTCTCACGGGCGAACGCTTAAATCACATTAACTAAAAAAAAAGAGTTTGTTGGAAATCGTTGAATTCTATGGTCTACATCTCCAACAAACTTTACGTAAAAAAACATTGAAAATCGGAAAGCCATGCACAATTATCTTGTCCTAATATGGAACAACTAATTAGTATACATTCACGAACTCCAAAACTTCATTTAACTAACGTTTAATTTTTATAGTATAAATCAAATGTTGATGTTAGTTAGACCACCATTGACACTTGAAAGCACCAATCTCTTTCTAGTATACAATTCTCCAGTATTCATGAACCAAACTGAGAACGTTCAGTCTTGCAAGCGAACACTTAAACTCTAGACCATTGACCCATGGTATACATGTTCAATGCTTTGAAGTTTTTTCTCGATGACCTACTTAAGATAAAACTACAGATATTGTACAATTCCCACAAATCCTCCTATACTAATAATGGTGAATTGTTTTTTTTTTCGTTTGATTTCCTTCTTTTTTTCCCCCAACTATAATCAATACGTTACAAATCTTTCAACTTACACTACAATCACTAATTTGTAGTAACAAATAAACAATTCATTAAAAAAATATAGCAATTATGAGTCATATTACAGTAAAGTTAACCTGCGCCTCTGTATGTATGTATGTATGTGTGTGTGTGTGCATGCCCGATGTTTCTTTATTTCCTTTCTTTAATATTCTTGTTGTGCCGAGAGTTTACACTTTCGATTTAGGTATATTTGTTATCAAAAAAAACAACAAGAAACTACTGTGATATCATCAGTGTTATTTAAATGAAAAATTTAGAGGAGAAAAAAAGAGGTAAACAACCTATGGTTTTCTTTTTTTAGTGTTTACAGAATATTCTAAGCCAATCAGGAAGTGAATAAAATAGAGATATAGATTTGTTACATAATGTGTCCGTCAACTTTCTTCTTCTTCTTCTTCTTCTTCTTCTTCTTCTTCTTCTTTTACTTTATGTTACCATGCTCCTTATATGATTTTCAAAGAAGAAAAAATCAACTTAGGTCAAAGGTTGTATAGTAAACATTTTGCAAACATAATTTCAATCTAGGTAGGTAGGTAATTTTCATTAGGGTATTAGAAGAAATCGGAAAAAAGTTGTCCGATTGTATTTTATAGGAGTTTTATGATAAGAATAATATCATTTAGATTACTGATATGTAAGTTGAATAGTTCAACAGTCTCTGTATCAGTAGGCCACAACATACACAGAGGAAAAAAACAAGATCCTCATATGCAACACGGAGAACACTAATTCATTCACACTTACTGGCGAAACTTTGGAAGATGTGGAATCATTCACGTACACGGGAAGCATCATTGATGAACAAGAAGGATCGAATGCAGACGTGAAGGTGAGGATTGGGAAAGTAAGGGCAACATTCCTACAATTAAAGGACATATACAACTCAAAACAACTCTCAAATAATATTAAACACATCTTCAATATGAACATCAACACAGTCCTACTGTGTGGAGCTGAAACATGCAGAACTACTACAACCATCATCAAAACAGTACAAGTATTAACAAATAATTGTCTACACAAGATACTCAATGTTTGTTGACCAGATATCATCAGCAACAGCCTTCTATGAGAGATGAAAAACAGCTTCCAGATGAAAAGGAAATTAAGAAAAGACATTGGAGGTGGATAGAACATATATTGTGGAGATCACCAAATTGCATCGTGAGGCAAGCCTTAACTTGGAATTGTGAAGGGAAACGGAAAAGAGGAAGGCCAAAGAACACATTACGTGGGGAAAAAGAAGCAGATATGAAAAGAATGAATAATAACTAGGAAGAGCTGGAAAAGATTCCCCAGGATAGGTTGGATGAAGAGTGCTGATGGGCGGCCTACGCTCACCCACAAGGAGTAACAAGCGTAAGTAAGTTGGATGGTCCAGATTTCTCAAAATCAATTAAGTTACA